GAGACTACTAATAAAAAGAATAATAAGACGACTAACCCGACAAACAATAAGGATACTACTAATAAGACTAATAAGACGCATACTGCTAATACTAATAATAATAATTAGACGACTAATAATACTATTGACCATAAGAATAAGAATACGTCTAAGACACATAATAACAAAATACTAATGCTAATTCTACTACCACCAATGCTTATACGAAGAAGACTAATACTATTAATACCAACGCTAGCACTAAGAACAAACATAATAATAACAATAATAATAATAAGAAGAATACGATTAACCATAACAAGAAGAATAATAATACTAAGGACACTAATTATAAGAAGACTAAGAATAATACTACTAATACGACGAAGAAGACTACTACTTATGATAATAATAATAACAGTAATAATAAGCATCGTAATATTAATAGTAAGAACACTAATACTAGTAAGACAAATAAGAATAATACTCATACTAAGAATAATACTACTACTACTAATAATAAGAATAATATTAATAAGAAGACTAATGATAATACTAAAAAGAAACATAAGATTAATAAGCATACTACTGACAACTAGTAGTAATACTAATACTAATAATAATAGTACTAATGCCAATAATATTTATACCAATAATGGTAATACTAATCATAAGAAGAAGAGTGCGAATAATAATACTAATAATAATACTACTAATAATACTACTAATACTAATACTAATACTAATACTAATACTAATACTAATACTAATACTAATACTAATACTGATACTAATACTAATACTAATACTAATAACAATACTAATAATAATAGTAATACCAATAATACTAATACTAATAATAATAATACTGTTACTAATAATAAGAACAATCATAATACTACTAAAAAATAGTCACAATAATACAACTACTAAGCATAATAAGAATAATAAGACCATACTGATAACAATACTAATAATAATACTAATACTATTACACATAAGAAGAAGCATAATCAGCAGAAGAAGAAACATAATACTAATAATAATAATAAGAAGAAAAATAAGAACAATAATAGCAATACTAAGAATAATAATAATAATACTAATAATAAGAAGAAGAATAATAATGATAGTAATAAGAAGAATAATAATAAGAAGAATAATAAGAAGAAGAGGAAGAAAACTACTAATAATAAGAAGAATACTCAGAAGAGGAGAGGAGGAGGAGGAGGAGAGGAGGAGGAGGAGGGAAGACAAGGAGGAGGAGAGGAGGCGGCCGAGGAGGACGAGGAGGACGGAGGATGAGGATGAGGAGGAGGGAGGCGGAGGAGGAGCAGGAGAAAAGGAGGCGGAGGGAGAGGGAGAGGGAGCAGGGAGCAGGGAGCAGGGTGCAGGGAGGAGGGAGGAGGGAGGAGGGAGGGGAGGAGGGAGGAAGGGAGGAGGGAGGGGGGAGGGAGGGAGGAGGGAGGGGGGGGGGAGGGGAGGGAGGAGGGAGGAGGGAGGAGGAGGAGGGAGGAGGGAAGAGGGAGAAGAGGGAGGGAGGGAGGGAGGGAGGGAGGCAGGGCGGGCGGGCGGCGGGCGGCGGAGGAAGAGGAGGAGGAGGAGGAGGAGGAGGAGGAGGAGGAGGAGGAGGAGGAGAAGGAGGAGGAGGCGGTGGAGTTGGAGATGGAGGAGGAGGAAGAGGAGGAGGAGGAGGAGGAGGAGGAGGAGGATGAGGCGGCGGAGGAGGAGGACCTTGGAATGAACCCTTCCTACAAGCTCCCATTTCCCTTGAGGGAACTGCTTCGTTGGAAGACAACCGTTTAAATATTCTGAAGTATGTCACAACATTGTTCTCGGGATTTCAAGGCCACGCATCAACCTGACTGCTGCGTCTTGACGATCCGGAATCGTGTCAGCGCGCCCTTTGTGGGATTGCAACACCGCGAACCAATATAATTGTTGCACCCGCTTAGTCCTGAATCCTTCTAAAGCATATTTCTGGTACGTTGATCATGGGAAGCAGTGAAACTCTTGCACATTTCGAAACGAAAGTGCGCGGCGCTAAGCCGAGAGCCACATCCGCCCTCAATCCATGAAGCTCTTGCATTTTCAAACGAACGTGCGTGGCGCTAAGGCGAGAGCTACATTTTGGAAACGACCCGCCCTCAATCCGTGAAGCTCCTTGCAATTTTTTAAAACGAATATGCGCACGACGCTAAGGCGAGAGCCACATTTTGAAAACGACCCGTCCTCAATCCGTGAAGCTCTTACAAGTTTTGAAAACGAGTGCGCACGACGCCAAGGCGAGAGCCACATTTCGAAAACGACCCGCCCTGAATCCGTGAAGTCCTTGCAATTTTTTAATACAAATGTGCGCGGCGGCGAGAACCACAGTTTGAAAACGACCCGCCCTCAATCCGTGAAACTCTTGCAAGTTTTTAGAGCGAAGGTGCGCGGCGCTAAGGCGAGAGCCGCATTTTGAAAACCACCCGCCCTCGAGAAATCTCAGGCGAAACGCCCGGCCCGCCCGAAAAACTGGCCCAGGGGTGCGACAGGGAGGGGCTATCTATAGAGGAGGAGGAGGAGGAGGAGGAGGAGGAGGAGGAGGAGGAGGAGGAGGAGGAGGAGGAGGAGGAGGAGGAGGACCAGTGTAAAACAAGAGTCATCAACGATGTTGGAATTAACCCTCCCTCCAAGCTCCCTCTTCATAGGCCCCCATTTCCATTGAGGGAACTGCCTCGTTGGAAGACACCGTTTGAAGATCTTGAAGCATGCCAAAACATTGTTCTCGGGATTTCAACGCCACTATCAACCTGACTGCTGCGTCCTGACGATCCTGAATCGTGCCAGAGCGCCATTTGTGGGATTGCAACACCGCGAATCAACATAACTGTTGCGCCAGCTTCCACAGCACCAGTTCTGATACGTTGATCATGGGAAGTCGTGGAGCTCTTGCAAATTTTGACACGAATGTGCGCGGCGCTAAGGCGAGAGCCACATCCGCCCTCAATCCGTGAAGCTCTTGCAATTTTTCAAACGAATGTGCGCGGCGCTAAGACGAGAGCCACATTTTGAGAAGGACCCGCCCTCAATCCTTGAAGCTCTTGCACGTTTTTAGTACGAATGTGCGTGGCGATAAGGTGAGAACCACAGTTTGAAAACGACCCGCCCTCGATTGTTTGAACGCGAGTGTGCGCGGCGCTGGCGCGAGAACCACGTTTTGAAAACGACCCGCCCTCCGTCCGTGAAGCTTCAGAGTGATAATGGTGGCGAAACGCCCGGGCCGCCCTAAAAACTGGCCTCGGGGTGCGACAGGGAGGTTATAAGGAGAAGGACTGGAGGAGGAGGAGGAGGAGGAGGAGGAGGAGAGGGAGGAGGCGGAGGAGGAGGAGGAGGAGGAGGCGGAGGAGGAGGAGGAAGAGGAGGAGGAGGAGGAGGAGGAGGAGGAGGAGGAGGAGGAGGAGGATCCCCCCGTTGGGCCCCAAGTTTCTGGTCCAGTCGAAAACCCAACAAAGTCGGGGATGGGGATCGCCATGCCCCCCTCTCCCCGCTCATAGAGGGACGCTCGGGAACGGCCGCAGGGCAATCGGAGGACGGGGCGGGCCGTGCTAGTCGAGAGGACGAGGGCGCATTGTATACCCCTCCCATCCGCTTCCCCCGTGTCTTCCTCTGCCCTCCGTCCTCCAAACTCGTATGTCAGGTGAGGTTTCTGGACCGCGTTTGGCGTTTCAGTCGGTCCCGTTTCGTCGCCCCCTTTGGGTATCGCGCTCGCTCGCTTTGCGGACGCCGACGCCGACGCCGACGAGGACGACGACGACGAGACTACGACTACGACGACGACGACCACGACGACGCCGACGCCCACGCCGGCGCCAGTGCCGACGCCGACGCCGACGCCGACGACCCTACGACCACGCCGACGCCGACGACGACGACGCCGCCGACGCCGAAGCCGACGCAGACGCCGACGCAGACGCCGACGCCGACGAGGAGGACGACGACGACGAAACTACGACGACGACCACGACGACGCCGTACACGACGACGCCGACGCCCACGCCGGCGCCGGCGCCGACGCCGACGCCGACGCCGCCGCCCCTGCGACCACGCCGACGCCGACGACGACGTCGCCGCCGACGCCAAAGCCGACGCCGACGCCGACGCCGACGCAGGCGGCGACGACGCCGACGCCGACGCCGACGCCGACACCGACGCCGACACCGACGCGACGCCCCACGCCGCGCCGACCGATGCCAACGCCGACGACGCCGACGCCGACGCCGACGCCGACGCCGACGACACGACGACGACGACGACGAGGCGACGACGACGACGACCACGACGACGCCGACGCCCACGCCGACGCCAGCGCCGACGCCGACGCCGACGCCGCCGCCGCTGCGACACGCCGACGCCAACGACGACCCGCCGCCGACGACGACGACGACGACGACCACGACGACGCCGACGCCCACGCTGACGCCCACGCCAACGCCGATTCCGACGCCGATTCCGGCGCCGGCGCCGACGCCTACGCCCACGCCCACGCCCACGCCCGACGCCGACGCCGACGCGACGCCGACGAGGACGCCGCCGCCGCCGACGACGACGACTGCGACGAACGACGACGACGACGGCGACGACGACGACGTCGACGACGACGTTTGAGCCCCCGCCGCCGGCCCTGCGGCCGCGGCGAGGGCCGCGCCGTGCGGCGGGCCGCCCGAGCGGCGGGGGTCGGCCGAGCGCGGCGGCGCGGCGGCAGCCGCGAGCGAGCCGCGCGGCGACGGGAGTGCCGCGCCGCGCGGCAGGGGCGGCGGCGGCGAGGCGGCGGCCGCACCTTGCGGCGATGGCGGCGGCCTTCAGGAACCGTCGCCGCCCGTCATGCGATTGCCCAGGGACTTGGCCGCAGCCGCTGCCGCCGTCGCCGTCGCAGCCGCCGCCGCTGAGCCGTCGAGCCGTCGTTCCGGCCGTCCTGGCCGTGGCCGCCGCCATCGCCGCTGCCGCTGTGCCGTGGCCTGGCTGCTTGGGCCGCCGCCGCGGCTGTGGCCGCCGCCGCCGCTCGTCGCCGCCGCCGCGGCGCTGTCGTGCGGGTGCTGGCCGCCGCCGCCGCCGTGGCCATGGCCATTGCCGTCGCCGCCGCCGCCGCTTCTCCTCAGGAGCCGCCTGTCGTGCGGCTGCTGGGGCCAGAGTGCCGGACGCTGACCGTCGGCGACGGCGATTTGGCCTTCTCGGCTGCGCTGGCCGACAGCTGGGGGCACGCGCGCGCCCGAGGCCGGCGGCACCGCCGCGCGGCTGGCGGCGGGCGGCCAGTCAGCATCGTCTGCCTCTACCCCCACTGGGAAAGCCCTGGCCCCGCGGTCCGACCTGCCCGCCCCAGGGGGGGGGACAGATGCCCTCTCTGTTTGGTTTCGCGGTGTGCAAACGCCACCTCGATGGGTGGGCTGGTGGCGCTACGGAACCTTGGCCCGCTGGGGATGGGGACGGGCCTCATGATCGGCGTTACCCCAACATACTAATACTATGTGTGCGTCGCCCCATCCAGGGGCGACGCGCGCGCCGAGAAATCTTATGGTATATGCGTCGTGGCGGGCGCTTTCTGGCCACACCGCTCGGGAAACGATATTCTACAAGCTGTGTATACGATCTGTTGGGGTCGGTTGCAGGCTTCCAAGGAGGACATATAGTTCTGGTCGGGAGGCTTATGGTAGGCAGGGCCGGTGGCGTCCATGCTTATCACGTATTTCTCCAGCTTCCGAGCCATCGTCCAGTGAATCTTCCCTGTCCGTCATCCTTCCCTTCCTCCTGTTATTCCCCTCCTTGCTGGGACGGGCGAGTGAAATACATACGAGGGAGCGTGGGGAGGAGCTGAGGGGATGCAGATTGCACGGGGCATGGGGGTCGCAGCGAACCATTGCCTCCACCTCCCTCTAATGCTCCTCTTTCCTCATGCTCCTCCCGCCTCCTCGACGCTAGCTGCGCATGGCCATCGCGGCTCAAGCAGCGCGCCAGCGAGGCGCTCGCAAAGTCCCACAAACCCACCCTGGTAACCTGCCGAATAAAATTGCAGAGTTCTGTTGGCAACCCAAGCACGTATGTCCTCATACGGGCATGTGGGCGCAAACGCGCGCTGTCCTCCTGGTATGCGGCGTAGTGCCGTCAAGGGGACATTGTCGTTACACGGGGGCCGACGGATCTTGCGCGTGCGCGGTGTACAATCGTTTGGTATATGTGCTCGCTCCTATATTGACGTGCGTGGCTTCTGGTGTTCGGGTAATGCTGCGTGTGCAACTGTACGCGGTGCGCGTACGTGTTGTCCTCGCATTCAACATGGTTTGTTTCTCTAGGTTACCCCCGCCCCCGCTGGTGGGAAGTCTCATGCGAAGTGAAGTGGTCATGCGGGGTTTTGCTGTCGGAGGAATTGTTGTTGCCCCCCATGAGGGGAATGCAAGCTGGCGCGCAGATCTCGGAGCAATCGGCTTGCGCGCGGAAGGCGCGGCTCTGGCGGTGCAGGCAGGCGGCAAAGGCCAGCGTGTGTGGCAGTGCGCCTGACGGAGGCGGTAATGCCTCGGCCAGAAGTGCCCCAGTGCTCCAAGCTGCGCGGCGTAGTGGCGCGCGTGTGCCACGGGCAGTTCTTGGCGCTGCGGCTATTTCAGGACGCAAAGATCCGACGCTCAAGAATTGTAGCAGCCGGTTTTTGGCCCTTTTTCGGCCTCCGGAGACCTTCGACGGGCCCCGGGGCCGTCAAACATCTATTCAGAAAAAACAAAACGGCCAAGGGAAGTTGTTGGGACATTCAGGGGGCCCCTGGGACCGTGCGTCGAAAAAATTGGAGCGCGCGGATGTCTGGGGAGGCCGCGGTAACGTGTCAGAGTGCGCGTCCAGGCGGTGATGCCAGGGCGAAGGAGGGCAACTCCTCAAACGCAATCAGTGCAACTGCAAATTTAATTCATATTAGCGGTAAGGCGGCAAAGTAGCTCCCCCTGTGCCGTAATGCTGGGGCGAGCCGCGCGGCCAGTGGGGGTTGCGACGGCGCGGAAGCCACTGAGGCGACCGAGGGCGACAAGACGGAACCACCCAAGTTGGCCGGCTCCCTGTTTGCACGCGCGTGCGTTTTGTTTGTTTGTTTGTTTGCTTGCTTGCTTGTTTGTTTGTTTGTTTGTTTGTTTGTTTGTTTGTTTGTTTGTTTGTTTGTGTGTGTGTGTTGTGTGTGTGTGCGCGTGTTGTAGCCCAGGTTCCGACGAACTCGAGCGGTATCTGCTTGACCTTGGCAGACCGGCCCTTGTGAAAGCGAATGCACAGTTGACTCGGCGGAAATTGTCGTCGCAGCACCGGGCGGTCATGTTCAGCTGGCGGACAAGCACACCACGAAAGCACGAAACAATAAACATTGAACAGTGTTTTACGCTGGGGTAGACGCGGCATTGTACGTGGTGCAGCCGCAACGCGGTGTAGCGACAACGTGGTGCAGCCGCTGCGTGATGTCAGTTCGAGGTGCACCCGCAGCGTGGCGTAGCAGAGTGTTGTATCCACTGCGCGGCGTGGCAACAGTGCGGTGCAACACCGTGGTGTAACCAGAGCGTGGTTTAAGCGGAACGCGATGTGACCGCAACGCGGTGTAGCCACAGTGCGGTGCAGCCGCAGCGCGGTGCAGCCGCAGCGTGGTGTAGCCGCAACGTGGTGCAGCCACATTGTGGCGTAGCCACGGCGTGGTGCAGCCGCAGCGTGGTGCAGCCACAGCGTGGTGTAGCAGCGTGGCGTAGCAGTTACATGCTGTGGCCACTGCGTGGTGTAGCCACAGCGTGGTGCAACGACGCGGTGCGCAGTATGGTGTGGCCACAGCGTGGCGCAGCCACAGCTTGGAATAGCCGCAGCGTCTTGCAGCCGCACCCCGAGGTATGCGTGGTGTGGCCGCATCGCGGTTTTTGCCACAGCGTGATGTAGGGGCACCGCGGGGTAGCGACAGTGTAGTGCAACAGCGCCGTGTAACCGCAGCCAGCTGTCGCCACAGCGTGGTGTAGCCACAGCGTGGTGTAGCCACAACGGGGTGCAGCCATAGCGGGGCGAAGCCGCCCGCCACTTAGTGTAGCGACAATGTGGAGCAGCCGCAGCGTGATGCAACAGCAGATGCAGCCAGGGCGCGGTGTAAGAGAGAGAGAGAGAGAGAGAGAAAGAGAGAGAGAGAGAGAGAGATAAAGAGAGAGAGAGAGAGAGAAAGAGAGAGAGAGAGAGAGAGAGAAATGTATATCCACGGCGCGGCGTGGCGTTGCGTTCACTGCAGCGCGGTGTAGCCGCAGCGTGGTGTGGCCACAACGTGGTGTAGCCGCAGCGTGGTGCAGCCGCAGCGGGGCCAGGCCAATGGTGTACAGTGTCGTGTAGCCACATCGTGGTGCAAGTGCTGCTTGGTGTAGCCGCAGCGTGGTTCCGCCGCAGCGGGGGGGTAGCCACAGCGTGGTGTAACAGCGTGGTGTACTCGCAACGCGGTGAAACATAGTGTATCCACAGCGTGGTGTAGCCGCAGTGAGAATTAACCTCGTGCTGTAGCAGCAGCGCGGCGTTGCGGCCACAGCGTGGTGTACCCGCAGTGCGGGGTAGTGCAGCGTGGTGTAGCCGCAGCGCGGTGTAGCTGCAGGGTGATGTAGCCAGAACGCGGTGTAGAGGTTGAGCCACAGCGCAGTGCATCAACAGCGCAGTGTTGCCACCACGTGGTACAGCCAAAATGTAGCCATGGCGTGGCGTTGTGCGCGCCGACGTGGCCAAGGGCACGTTGGGTGTGTTGACGCCAGGTCGGGCGTCTGGCGCGGGCGCAGTAGTGGCGAAGCCGGCGCAGTCTTGCGTCTAAGCGGCAGGCGTATGCGCCCAAAGCAGAGCGGTGAGGCGATCTGCGCGGGCTGCGTAAAGCGGCTTTGGATGAGCAGAGAAACGGCATAACAAAAAAAACGAGAGCGCCAGATTTCACTCATCGAAGGCTCGCCAGTCCATACAACGACGGCGTACTTATACGGCACGCGGGAGGCCTGTTGGGCACGGCGTTTGTATCCGCAGTAGGGGCACGTGACGTCAGAGAGCAAGCTGGTGTACCGGGCTTCCAGTGGATACTTTCGCGATCTTTACGGCCAGGACTGAGGCGTTTTCGAGACGGTCTTGCCAGATTTGTGGAGCAGGAAGCGGGCGCGGGATGAGGCCTGGACCTGGCCGCGTGTCTCTTGCACTTGGCGCGAGAAGAGGTAACTGTTACGCAATGAGAGTCCCAGAGAAAAGCAAGGGGTAGGAAGGAACAGGAGGAAGGAGCAACCCTTGGCGGAGGATAGGATGAGTTACTGTGATAATAGTATGTCTCTGTGCGTCCCATGATGATGCTCTTCCTGCTCTCGCTGCCGCCATCGCAGTCGGCGCCGCCGCCTTCGCCGTCGCGGCCGCCGCCGTCTCGTGCCGCGAACCGCCGCCTTGTGGCGTCGGAGGGGCGGTGCGACGGGCGATGGGGGGCCCACGCGGCGCCAGGATACCCGCGCTCCGAGCCCTGCTGTCCAGACTGGGCGGCGCGAGGGCGCGCAGATAATCGCGCCCCGCGCGTCGCCGTCGCCGTCGCCGCCGCCGTCGTCGTCGCCTCCCCGTCATGCGCTTTACATTCCTCTTGCTCTTGCTCACGCTGTTCGTGTCCTTCTCCCCTTCCCCCCTCCCCCTCCCACCTTCTCCCTCTCTCGCTCTCTCCCTCTCTTCCTTATTTCTTCCCTCCCTGTCGTCCTTTCTCCCTCTCTTGCTTTCTCCATCTCCCTTACCTCTTGCCCTCTTCCCTCTCCCGTCATGATGTTCTCCCCTTTGCCCTCTTCTCTTCTGACGTATCATTTTTCTGTCTTCCCTTGTATGTGGCTGGTGCAGCCTGCCTTGTTCGTGTCAGGGCGAACACAACTGCTCGCTAGTGATAGCGGGCTGCTTCTCTCGGGCCTCTTTCTCTTTCGCCCCCCCTCGTTCATTTCACCTCTTCCCACCGCGCTTTCCACTCCTCTCATCGCCTCTCCTTGGTCCTCCCTCCTCCCTCCTTTCTTGAGCTACTTTTCAATGTGATCGCTACGCTCTTCTCTCCCCGGACCATCTCCAGCCTTGGCGCCGCTTCAGCCGCCTGTTGTTTGCCATTCAGGAACTCCTTATTTTGTGTGGCGTATGTGATTGGCAATGACAGCGTCGTTTGTCCTTCGTAAGTAGTGCTCATGTTGCAGCGATGGCCACATTTTGGGATCGGTAAGGTGCCCTCGTCCTTCAAAACGGCGTGGGCC